ACACACACACACACACACACACACACACACTATTGCCATCGTTCATTCATTGCTGGTGAATAATTAAGGAGTTCATTTTAAAGTGTGGCATGAATGTGAGGCCTAGATTGCTGTACAAACATTGTTTTGCACGTTGTATGTGCACACACACACACACACACATGTTCTATCTATCTGTATATGCACACACACATAAACACGATCTTTATATCAGTATATATATATATATATGCATTTGTATCAGGTCCCCCAAAGACTTTGCCTCAGCCTCAGAAAAAATATGGCCGCATTTTGCAGCACTGAATCTCACGAGGACACGAAAACAAGAACTTGTTGAAATGGGAATTATAAAAAAGGTAATCATTTTTTCAGCATTTAGTTATACAAATACAAAACCTAAATATTAATTGTCAGATAACAGTAGACATATTATCTTTATATCTAAAGATTTCTGTCATATACTAAGTTGTAAACTGCAGTGTGTGCACAATGAAAAAAAATTGCATTGTATGAACCTAGGGCACTTTATGTCCTTTTTCTTTTACAATTCTTTGTTGAGTGCACAGATTTGACAGAAGAACATCATCATCACTATCAATATTTTCTATGTTTCAAATAATTTTCTTAAAAGATCTCTTAATACATATATCAGAACTATCAGAATTTAGGAATCATTTGAAAACAATTGCTTCGTGTGTCTTACCGACAGAACGAGTAAAATTAATGATAAGAAGATAAGAAAATATGATTACGTTTGAAACTATTTTCAGGTTGATGCCGGTATTTCTCCAAAGACGTCACCAAGACAACCCGGAGATGGAATTCGACTGGTAAGGAAATTCAACCATAATCAAGCCATAAATAAAGAGAAAATAAGAAAAAAAAAATAAACAAATAATAAACAGAACAGCAACTCATTGTGTAAATGGAAATAATTTTTTTTATTAAATATTTTCTCTAGCTATCATTATATCTATTTACTATGTTTAATTGACATCTATTTATTTGTTTACTATTCATTATAAGTTTTTTATTAATTGTTTTCACCCTTTGTATTTGTTATTTTTAGGCGTCCTATTCTCGGCCGGAATCTGCATACGCGTACAGTAGCGACCCCTTTATGAACGCTGCCATGAACGGGGACGTCTTAGCGGAAGAAAGGACTGAAGACAAACCCAAGACGAACCAGCCGCAGTTTGCTATGTGGAAATAGTTCGATGGGGAGCTTTAAAACTTAACGAATATGGTTTATGTTTTTAAATATTTATTTTTGGATGACTTTTTCATGATCTCAACACAACGAATTCTTAAGACTGTTATTATTGTTCACCGAAAATAACGTGTGAGATTAGTGGCTAGAACGAAAAAATCTTTCTAATTATTCTTTTAACTACATTATTATTATTATTATTATTATTATTATTATTAGTAGTAGTAGTAGTAGTATACGCCGTCTACATAAGATTGAGATAAGGTATAACATAACGTTACCAGTTAATTTCACTGATAACTTTAAATCATTTCTCGAAGACGTCCAATGAAAATTTAACAAACCGAGCAACAGAGAAAGTTACAAAATCTCATTTCAAGCAAAATCCCATCCGTCTGGGTTCTGTTGGACGGTGGGGGGTGGGGGGGGGGGGTATTTTCCTTCAACAATATGATATGTGATAGGCCGGCCCTACACGATCAAAAGAAAAATTTAAAAATATCGTGTTGCAAAGATAAAGATAAAACATGGATTTATATATGCGAAATTTTATTATTATTAGTATTATTATTATTCGTGCTTGTCATTGATTGCTTCATAATGCAATACTTAGCTATGCCGTTTGCTTATCCAAACAATATTATTGTACGTTTTGGTTTCTGTGTTGTACTGGTAACATATGTCATTTGAAAAAAAAAGTGTCGTTGATTATCATATACATTGATTTGTTGATTCTCTCTCTCTCTCTCTCTCTCTCTCTCTCTCTCACACACACACACACACACACACACACAGAAAAGTAGCAATCGTATGTAGTGCAGAGAGTTGGAATGTAGCATTGTACCTACACCTACACCGAGCTCAACTGTTACTGCAACCGATAACTTGCAACAAATTCGTCACGAAATCTTTTGCGTGTGCACACATCTTTCGATAGCAGGCGTTCACACACATCTCGTATTGTATACATAGGTTTCTCCTTACTGTTTTTGTTTATAAGTTAAAGGAGGGGGTCTCTCTTTGTCTCCAGCGTTTTGTGGGTTTTCGTTTTATTAAAGCCTTTGTACAGCTTCTTAGCCTTTTTGTTGTATAATGTGAGGGGGGGGGGACCATTCTCTTTGTGTTTAACGTTTGAGGGAATATCGTCTGATTAAGGAATTTGTATTATGAAATCAAAAGTTTCTCAATTTTTCAATCACGTCTGCGGTTTTGAAATCCAATTTAGAGCAAAAATAAAAATAAAAAACACCCGCTTTTCTTATATCATACTGAATTTCTGAGAAAAAGTCCCTGAACTACGCGTATCACAACAAAATAAAAGGTTTTCCTGTCACAATCAAATAACGGCTTTACTTCTTTGTGCAAGAATGTAAGAAAATTGAGTACGCTATTGTTCTGCGAGAGAAATTTTGCAGTAGGTCTTGTTCACACGCAGTATGTAAAGTTCGATCTCAGTGAGGCAGGCTCGCGCTTAATTGTGCAGCTTGTGACTTAATGAAAGGGTGTGTGTAATCTTCATGCGAGATAATTTATCACAATTAAATCACCGTATAGATCTTGTGTATAATNAGAACCTAAATATAAATTGTCAGATAACAGTAGACATATTATATATTTCTTTATATCCAAAGATTTCTGTCATATACTAAGTTGTAAACTGCAGTGTGTGCACAATGAAAAAAAAATTGCATTGTATGAACCTAGGGCACTTTATGTCCTTTTTCTTTTACAATTCTTTGTTGAGTGCACAGATTTGACAGAAGAACATCATCATCACTAGTCTAGATGTCTGGTGCAAAAGAACCAATAATCTTTGCCAAAAGGGATAAGAAGTTGCTTTTAGTATTTTTAATCCACCTTTTGTTACAACCGATTCCCTGACATTTCGCCAAGAAAAACGCTCTCCACTTACTCTAATTTTCTACATAAAGAAGTCTTTTAAGCCATGTAAAGTTTAGGGCCTTAGTAAAATTTTTATTTGCGGTACCTTTTACCGTCCATTTTTGTAATCAGACACCATCCTTGCTCATTTTATTTTGTATCTTTTCCCATTCCTGATAAAGTTAAATATGATATGCATATTTTTAAGTATTGAGGGAGGGGGGAGGGGGGGGCTGGTAGGAGAGTTTATACATGCACTACGTAAGATGAGAAATACGAACGGTTTAACAACTGTTGACTTTCCTATTATTGAAAGGTTTCTCAGAGACCAGATTTCCAAGATATTTGTCATTTTGCTCAAAATTTTTCTAAAAAGCTTTTTCACATTGTATTTTGTCAGTTTCTATTCTCTACCAAGTAACTTAAATACACCTGCATGGTTCTATTTTAATTCTTTTTGTTAATCAATGAAGTTCAAAAGTTTCTGTTCACACCCAAAGGCTGTTAGATGCCATATCTTACTTCCACCAAGGCTGCTCTACAACAATATAAGAGTATTCTTGCGAGATGAACATATCTGAATCAGCACTACGGTGCCATATGTCATCAGATACCATGTGCTCACTCTGGTTGGACTTGTGCGGAACAGTGGACCCTTGTGGACACATTTGCCAGAAGCTATTGACCTGCCCAGAGTTGCTCCAGTGTGCATGTAGGTGCAGATGTAGAGGCTGACAATGTGCAGGGGCAAAATGCACTGTATATTGCACATTCAAGGGAGAATTTAATGTCTTAACTATTGCAAAGTTTTATAAAGAGTCATAAAGTGATAAAAGCATGGAAATGGCTGGTTACTAACTTTGAACATGCTGCCTTAAGTGTCTGCACTGGCAGTGTTTTTGATCGGATGTGTGTAAACATCACACAATTGATTCAACTTACTGGATTAAAAGTATGAACATCTTGCTCAGAAGTGTAGTTCTTAGCTAGTATTATAGATTTGCCCTACTTAATAGACTAAAGCAACTTTAAATGCTTGTTGCTAGGGTAATATGCTGCCTAGCAATCATGGCTAAGGTTAATTTGGGTTTTAATTGCCTTAAAATAGTCTAATGATAGTTCTGATGCCCTGAAACATAGTTATTAGCATTTCTAAACCATTTAAACTGGACGAGAAAGGTCTAATTAGCTTGTTACTAAGGAAATTCACTTCCATAGCAACGGTTGCTAAGCAACGCTTCGAAATTTTGGGCACTGCCCTTGAAAATGATCAGCATAGACCAAAGAACATTTGTGCCAAGTTTCATGCTTTTTCCACATTTTGAGCAATTTGGCCAAAATACAGCACCAGTCATCCAGACTATATATTTTCTGTGCTTCAAATAATTTTCTTAAAAGATCTCTTAATACATATATCAGAACTATCAGAATTTAGGAATCATTTGAAAACAATTGCTTCGTGTGTCTTACCGACAGAACGTGTAAAATTAATGATAAGAAGATGAGAAAATATGATTACGTTTGAAACTATTTTCAGGTTGATGCCGGTATTTCTCCAAAGACGTCACCAAGACAACCCGGAGATGGAATTCGACTGGTAAGGAAAGCCAACCATATAAACATGAACAAGCCATAAATAAAGAGAAAATAAGAGAAAAAATAAACAAATAATAAACAGAACAGCAACTCATTGTGTGAATGGAAATAATTTTTTTATTAAATATTTTCTCTAGCTATCATTATATCTATTTACTATGTTTAATTGACATCTATTTATTTGTTTACTATTCATTATAAGTTTTTTAATTAATTTTCTTCACCCTTTGTTTTTGTTATTTTTAGGCGTCCTATTCTCGGCCGGAATCTGCATACGCTTACAGTAGCGACCCCTTTATGAACGCTGCCATGAACGGGGACGTCTTAGCAGAAGAAAGGACTGAAGACAAACCCAAGACGAACCAGCCGCAGTTTGCTATGTGGAAATAGTTCGATGGGGAGCTTTAAAACTTAACAAATATGGTTTATGTTTTTAAATATTTATTTTTGGATGACTTTTTCATGATCTCAACACAACGGATTCTTAAGGCTGTTATTATATTGTTCACCGAAAATAACATGTGAGATTATAGTGGCTAGAACGGAAAAAAATCATTCTAATTATTCTTTTAACTACATTATTATTATTATTATTATTATTATTATTATTAGTATACGCCGTCTACATAAGATTGAGATAAGGTATAACATAACGTTACCAGTTAATTTCACTGATAACTTTAAATCATTTCTCGAAGACGTCCAATGAAAATTTAACAAACCGAGCAACATAGAAAGTTACAAAATCTCATTTCAAGCAAAATCCCATCCGTCTGGGTTCTGTTGGACGGTGGGGGGGGGGGGGGGGGGGGGGTATTTTCCTTCAACAATATGATATGTGATAGGCCGGCCCTACACGATCCAAAGAAAATTTTAAAAATATCGTGTTGCAAAGATAAAGATAAAACATGGATATATATATATGCGAAATTTTATTATTATTAGTATTATTATTATTCGTGCTTGTCATTGATTGCTTCATAATGCAATACTTCGCTATGCCGTTTGCTTATCCAAACAATATTATTGTACGTTTTGGTTTTTGTGTTGTACTGGTAACATATGTCATTTGAAAAATAAAGTGTCGTTGATTATCATATACATTGATTCGTTGATTCTCTCTCTCTCTCTCTCTCTCTCTCTCTCACACACACACACACACACACACAGAAAAGTAGCAATCGTATGTAGTGCAGAGAGTTGGAATGTAGCATTGTACCTACACCTACACCGAGCTCAACTGTTACTGCAACCGATAACTTGCAACAAATTCGTCACGAAATCTTTTGCGTGTACACACATCTTTCGATAGCAGGCGTTCACACACATCTCGTATTGTATAGATGGGTTTCTCCTTACTGTTTTTGTTTATAAGTTAAAGGAGGGGGTCTCTCTTTGTCTCCAGCGTTTTGCGGGTTTTCGTTTTATTAAAGCCTTTGTACAGCTTCTTAGCCTTTTTGTTGTATAATGTGAGGGGGGGGGGGGCTTCTCTTTGTGTTCAACGTTTGAGGGAATATCGTCTGATTAAGGAATTTGTATTATGAAATCGAAAGTTTCTCAATTTTTCAATCACGTCTGCGGTTTTGAAATCCAATTTAGAGCAAAAATAAAAATAAAAAACACCCGCTTTTCTTATATCATACTGAATTTCTGGGAAAAAGTCCCTGAACTACGCGTATCACAACAAAATAAAAGGTTTTCCTGTCATGATCAAATAACGGCTTTGCTTC